GTCACAACAGCTGTTACTTAATGCTTACCAAGTTCCAAAACTTCTCCATGCTTTTTTGCCCCCTTCCCTTTATTTAGAGCTGCTCATTCCCTCCCATGCCTCCAGGGGAGCCTCTGGCTGAGTTTTACAACCCCAAGGAAATCCATTAACATTGTGAACTGCAGAGTCTGTAAGTGCCAGCAGATGATACACTGACTGTGGACAACTCACTAGAAACCTTGCTCAAGCAGACAACAGTACAACTTCCATTAAGCTGTGGAATGACTGAGCTTTCATTTGGCCTTCAGTAACTCAGAAAAGCAACGCTTGGCTCATCACTTGAGTCTAAAGCCTTCATGAGATGCTGCACGGTAAACAACTGGCATCCAAGAGTTAACTGATAACCTGGTTTTCTGATTTCTTCCCTAAGCAGCGAGCTCTGATGTGGGTGTGGACATGAACGTTAGTGCCACCAAACAGAATCTTCAGTTTTAAACGTACTACAACTTTTCACCTGTTTGTCACCCAGATGTTTTCCCCCATAACTGCTGACTGTCAGACCATTATAAAGCCAGACTGTTTCCTCTTCTCCACCCTTTATACAGACATCTCTGGTTTTGCTTTTCTTTTTCAAAGTGCCCAATTGACAGTGATGATATTTATGCACATGCATCAAATTTTTGATCATTGAACATATACAAATTTTAAACTCTGACAAGAGTCTATGTACTCCTTTGAAAAGCTGAGTATTTATGTAAAGTCTAAACATAGAATATTTGGTACAGCAACATGTGTGTCATTACTCCACTTTCCCCATGGCAAAGTTTCTCCTGCTGCAAGCCTAGAGAACAGCTACGTGGTTTCAGAGAGGAATAACAATAGCAGGGAGTTCTTATCACAGGATTTTAAAAAATCAGTTTTGTGTACATATTTAATTTTGATAAGACTCACCAACTAAAATGTCTAGAATCCAGGCAGATACTGAGCCTGCTGCTTCCATATGCCTTCCTTCCACCGTGGAGTGCCTAGTTTGGTTCCTGCCTCTAGCTCTTGACTCCAGCCTCCTGTTAACACAAACCCTTCATGGCAGCAGTTGATGACTCGGGTGTTTGGGTCTCTAACATGAACATGCAAGACCCAAACTAGGCACCTAACTCTAGGTGTTCACATGGTCTGGGACCAGCTATTGAGAATTTGGGGTGTGAATGCAAATAAGAAAAGAGGATCTCTCTCTCTCTCTCTCTCTCAATAGCCCCACCCCCTTCCAAACCCCTGCCTCCCAAGTAACAAATCCATAGTTTTTAAGAATATTTTTACCTTGGCAAAAAAAATCACATATAGCTCTGATGAGATCAAATGCAGATAGCAGCTTTTCTGGTTTTGATCCTGGCTTCAGCTTTTAGGCTGTGCAGCTTTTAGGCTGTGCAGCTTTTAGGATTGTGCAGGCCTCAGTTGCTGATATATCCAATGAGGGTGACAATAACACCACACATTCTAAACGTTTGCTATGAGAATTCAATGACCCAACATTTATGCTGGTATCCGGCTCATAACTAGTGATGTGCAATCTTTCCCCATAGAAACATTTCTGTTCAGTGAAGGAAACACATTTCTGGAAGACAGCCCTGCTTTAGAAAAGCACAAATAATAACAACTCTGCTGCTTCTTGCTCCTTTTCCACAACTTATTTAAACATATGACTCATTAGCATCTTCTACTGTTACCTATTCTGCTCCTGGGCTGGCAGTGACAAATAAAAGCAATTGTCCTTCCTAAAACCAGAGTCCTCCTCTGAAGTCAGATGGCAAGTCTTTGTTCTAGCTTCCCTTTTCATGAGAGAACAATAGTTTCAAATGATAGTCTATGCAGGCTTCACGAAAGGCAGTCATGCCAGCAACCTACCAGATGCCTCTGATTAATTTGCCCGTGTTCCACCAGACGTGCAGCATGAGCCATACTGCTGCTCTGCCAGTGCGAAACAATGTCTACATAAACAGCAAACTTAATTTCGCCAAGAGTTCTGACCTCAGGGTGCCTGATAATCCTGGAGGTCAAGGCAAGTCAAGCAGGGACAGAAGTGACACCTGAGTTCTCCCCTTCCTTCCTTTGTTTCTGATACCCTGATTTTGGCCCTGAGAAGCACAGTACTCATTCAGATACTTCTGTCGCTCCTTTTAGATATACCAGTTCTCACCATCCGAAGGATCAAACCCATTCTCCATGTCCCTTTCCCCCCAGGGCCTGGTCTCAGAGCACAAAGTCTTAGATTCAAACGTTAGTTCAGCTCTCAACCATGGCACATTCTCTGATTTCCCTGCACTTGTTCCCTAACTTCTTCAAGGAGGGAGGAGGCATGAAACAAGATCTTAGGTTCTTTCCACTCTGAAATTTTTTTATTATATTTAAATCATTGATGAGAGTTTTTGGTATATTGTAATATTCTTGTTCATCAGATGACTTCTAATGCTTCAGTACAGGTGAGTGCCTATGATAGAAACAGGCTGCATGCCCACATAGCTACAGGCCCTTTTTTGTTTTAACTACAGGCTTTTGAAGATCTAAAATAGTAGGCATGATACCAAGTCACAATGGACAAGCTGGTACAGTCCGACAGCAGTTCCTCTTGTTGTCTACCTCGGCCTGTCAAGTCCATTATCATTTGCTCTGCCTCTGTCCTAAAACTAATTACAAGTCATACTTTTTTCTACAGTGTGCTCCCAAACCACTGCATCACAAATTCTATCTCAGGCAAGAGCTGTTAAACCCACATAATCCGGAACTGTAATATGCAATATAGTAGTTGCCAGGAGGCACCTCTGTCTATTTAATCCTAAAATTAATTAAAACTAAAAAATCTAAGTTCTTTAGTGGCACTGACCATGGGTGAAGTGCTCAATAGCCGTGTGCAGCTTTTAGCCACCATACTAGACTAGACATCACTGTAGAAGAACAACACTAAAGTATTATGGCGCCCTATGTCAAGCAGTGCAACCTTTACTTTTTTAAGAGAGATAGAATCCAATTGCAACTACAATTTCAAGTTGCAGAATTCCCTTGCAAGGGAAGATCTTTCTGTCCTTCTCTCTGTAAATCTTCATTTTCTATAAAAATTAATAAATCTTTTTAAAAATTAATGATTATTACTGTTGAAAAAGAAATGGATAAGCTCTTTGTAAACCAACTGAATAAACTTCTGCCTTATCAGAACTCTCCTGAAACATAATACTAATTAGATTTATTTTAGACACAGATTGGCATGATTAATAAATCAACATGACTTGTTGCCTTAATAAATACGTATTGATCATTCACTCTGTGCCAAGAACTGCCAACAAACTGATGTATGAAACCTCTTTCCCTAATTTTGTTGTCAAAAATAATCATTTGTTGAAGTCAGATGTTTTATCCTGCTGTATATTACTTGTGCTTGTGAATAAATTAAAACATGAATTAATATCACAGACTGCACATTTTGTATCAGAGATGTGGGCTCAGCAAAGATATAATCACTGGTTAGCAAAAGAACAGTTATAGCCAGAAAAGAAACATACATGCATACATCCATGAGATGGCTGGCAACTGTTTATATATTCTTTTGAAGTTCTAATGTTTAAAATCAATTTAGCATTTCCCATTCATGTGTGCCCTCTCAGGTCTCAGTTCAAGGTCATTTCCTCAACCAAGTCTCCATGGCAATCTCACTTCTGTGTCCTCCTTACTCTGCCTTGCTCCGCATCCTGGACACCTCCCTCTATTCTGTTGGTTTCATCGAATCAATCATCTCAATTACTAATCATGTATTTCTTATTTATGTGTTTGCTTTCTGTTGCTCTGTGTCAGTTGATTTTAAGCCTCTATTACAGTGGCTGGCTGAAGGCTATCCTTGACATAAACCTTGGAATGAATGGATGAATGAATTCATCCCCTATGGAGGTCTCCTCCCATAACATTTCCAGACACATTGTTAACAAGTGGCTTTTTTTTATCAATCCTCAAAATTCAATGTGGTCTGTGTGCATTCTAAATGCTTTTACTTATGTCTTCATTTTTATTTATTTAAAAAACACACAGAGAGTTACCACTTCGGTTGGTTTATTCTTTATATGCCTACAATAAGCCAAGGCCAACCCAGGCCAGAGCCAGCAATCTGGAACTCAAGCAAAGTCTCCCATGTGGAAGACGAGGATTCAACTACTTAAGTCACCACCTGTGACCCACCCCTGTCATGCTACGCATTAGCAGGAAACTGGAATAAAATGTGAAGGAAGGACTCAAACCCATGAACCCCACTTTTTGATGTCAATCTTTCAAGAGTTATCTTTATTGATACAACAAACACCTGCCAAGATTTGTGTAGAAGCTTAAGTCCACCCTACTAGATATAGAAGAGTAGCATAGTGAGACTAAGTCTTCACTCTCATAGGGTTTTCAAGATATAAAATATTTTCAGTAAATTAAATCTCATGGGCCCAGCGTGGTAGCCTAGTGGCTAAACTCCTCATGTGCTGGGATCCCACATGGGCGCTGATTCTAATCCCGGCAGCCCAGCTTCCCATCCAGCTCCCTGCTTGTGGCCTAGGAAAGCAGTTGAGGATAGCCCAAAGCCTCATGACCCTGCACCCACGTTGGAGACCCAGAAGAGGCTCCAGGACCCTGGTTTCAGATCAGCTCAGCTCCGGCGGTTGCAGCTAGTTGGGGAGTGAATCATCAGATGGAAGATCTTGCTGTCTCTCCTCTCTGTATATCTGCCTTTCCAATAAGAATAAATAAAATCTTTTTTTTTTAAATTCAGTTTCTTGAATATAGACAGAAAGACATCCCTATCTTTAAATTTCAGGTCAAGTGTGATTGTGGCTTTAAAGAACACTTTTGCTCCATGGGAGATCCTTCCACACATCAAAATCATTATGAAAACCCTTCTATCCTCAAACATGACAGGGCAAATGCGTTCTTTATCACCCAGGAGGCTTAAGGAACAGCACACTCCAGTCCTTAGGAGTGAGTGGGGCACAGCTTCTTACCTAGAATCCTTTCTGACTCTTGCTTTCTCAAAGGAGAACTCGGGAGGCTTGTTGAGGTCATAGGTTCGGGTGGTTGGCTCAGCAGACACTCCAGCCTTGGCTCCTCTCCTGCTTTGCAGGGAAACCAACCCCGAGGTCTTCCTGTGCACCTCCAGGGGCACTTTCTCTGGGGAGGCCTGAGGCAGGCTGCCTCCCTGCACGTGCACCACGTCTTGAAGTTTGTTCAGCTGGATGCACTTGTTCTGGAGCTCCTCCGTCAGCTCAGCAATGGCCACAGTCTGCTTTGACAGCTGCTCGCGCAGCTCCTTCAGATGGTACTCCCGCTCCTGGATCTCAGCATCTTTCCTCCGCAGCTCTCTCTCCAGTTCTGCCACCTTGTTCCGCAGGGCATCTGTGGTGAGGCTCCCAGAGCGGCCATTTGGATGCTTGGCATGCTTCGGTTTCACGGAACCATTTCCCATTTTGCTCAGGGACCTGAGAAGGGACATGGGATTGGGAATTAGCCAATGCAAGTTCCATTTTCCATCAGCACTCTCTGCCCTCTCCTTACAACCTGCTTCATAAATACCAACTCAGAAGTTAGCCTCATTTGATAAACTATAAATTTCCCCAAACAACTAGAAGAAAAGGTATTGATCAGTTTCACTTTTCTATCTATGAAGAAGAATTAGCATTCAAGCTCACTGCCCACTCACGCTCCCCAACCCCCAACTGTGATGATAGCATCACATCTAAGCATTCTGCACACACGGCCAGAGTTACCTGCTGCTCCCTTTGATAATTCTCTGGACAAATGTCAAAAGCTTCACAACTAAACTGCAAATCAGATGTCAGCATGGCAAAGATACAATGCAAAGAGCAGTCAGCCCAACAGAAGCTTGGAAATTTCACAACTCACAGTTCCCTTTGTGGCAACGGTGAAGCCCTCCTCCCTTGTGCTGGACAATCACACAGCTGCATCGCTTGGAAAGCAGAGGCCCACTTAGCATGACTTTCTTAGCACAACTCTCCTACTGTCCACACCTTTAGATTTTGTATTTCTGACAATGTTCACTGTTAAGGATTTCTGGATTGTCATTAGGAGGAGACAGATGGAGAATAAGTACTGTCCAAAAGTCTCCAGTACTTCCCCATTAAAGTTATCCTCAAGGTAGATGCCAAAGTGATCAGTAATCCAGGATTCTCAGGAAGTGAGATGTAGGACCTGGAACAGCAGCCTGGTGGCTAAAGTCCTTGCCTTGAATGCGCCAGGATCCCACATGGGCACTGGTCCTAATCCCGGCAGCCCCACTTCCCATCCAGCTCCCTGCTTGTGGCCTGGGAAAGCATTTGAGGATGGCCCAAAGCCTTGGGACCCTGCACACACGTGAGAGACCTGGAAGAAGTTCCAGGCTCCTGGCTTCAGATCAGCTTAGCTCCGGCGGTTGCAGCTAGTTGGAGAGTGAATCATCAGACAGAAGATCTTCCTCCTCCTCCTCTCTGACTTTGCAATAAAAATAAATAAATATTTTTTTAAAAGACATATGTGATATGTAGATGAAGAGTGATAGAAATTTTAGCTGGTTTAGAAAGGTTTCTGTTAGCTCAATAAGTATGTATTGAACAGTTACTAGTGATATAAATAATTTGTACCACCAACTTGTGATATCACAGATACTGTCACTTTACTAAGTTAAGTATTTAGATTTATTGTGCCAGTTCAATGAAAAGAAGAATTGTCCCTAGGTAATAAGTACCTATGTAAAAAGCCATAAGAATTGAATTCAGATGGGTGACATTTGGGAAATACTGAGCAGATTAATGACTGTAATGCTCAAAGCTTTTTTGGTGCTCCTATTTAAAGTTTGTTTTACTTGTACAGGTGTGACAGCCCAAGAAATTTTAGAATTCCTATGCACTAAGCTTGGGCTACTTCTGGTTATCTAAAATGGGAAGACGATGAGGAAACTTGGAAATTTTCCAACCTGTAGATTCTGGATCCTCTCTGCCTCCAAATTGACTCAGTAAGAAATGAAATGCTTATGTCTGTTTCCCTGGCTCTGCCAAGATAATTTAGATCCTGACAACACCAAAGGCATCTAACTCACCCTCTCCATTTCAAACAGATAGAACCAGTCAGTGCATGTTGCCTAACACAGACGGTACAAATAGAAAAAGTCTATTTATAAAAGGGATCATGTTAGGCCAGCCTTGTGGCATAGTGGCTAAAGCCACCTCCCGTGATGCCAGACCCCAAATAGGCACCACTTCAAGTTCTGGCTGTTTCCTTTCTGATCCAGGTCCTTGCTAATTGTCTGAAATTCAACAGAGGATGGTGGAGGTGCTTGGGACAGTGACACCTGAGTGAAAAGCCCAGAAGATGCTCCCAGGTCTGCTTTGGTCTGGTTCAGCCTTGGTCATTGTGGTTATCTTTGGTGGGAATCTGTGGATGCAAAGATCTCTCTCCCTTATTCTCTCTACCTCTCTCTCTCTCTCTCTCTCTCTCTCTCTCTCTCAAACTCTGACTTTCAAATAAACATTTTAAAAGAAGTTATCTTGCAACCCCTGTATATTCCTCCTAGGGTTCAAGTTCAAACAAGTCATTAATGAGCATTAGTCTCCAGAGAACTGCCCTTACATATGGCAGATACGATAGATTTTACCTTTAAGTTGCTCTTGACTTAGCAGCAGTTCCAGTTCCTATATATGAATAATATATATGAAGGCTAGGGTGATAAGAAACCAAAAATTCTGCCCTGGACACATTTGTATCCCAAATAAGCTAGTTGTAATCTGTTAGACTGGAACCTGAGAATAAACTTAAATGAGATTTTGAATAACAGGCAGGCTACCAAATATGTCTTAACTTAATGTGTCCACACACTTTTAACACTCAGCTGTCAGACCTCACTGAGACAGGCATTTTGGTACATGAATAATCATTCTTAGGATAATAGGGAAAGAGAAAGTGCAGGGGGAAAAGCAATTACTCTATTTACAACAAAAAAGCTACCACAAAAAATTTTTAAATCTGACATTAAACTACACCTTATTTTTATGCATAAAACAATCATTTACTAAGATCTAAATATGTGTCACATACAACTTGCATACCCTGGACCTGTCTGTCACCAATTTCCGGTCAAATTTGACAGAGAAAACAGTTTTGATATCCACAGCATAAAAGCACAGTTATGTTTGTGCTAGATATATGACTCAAAAAATTCTGTACCAATCTAATAATTTGATAAGCACAATACACAATGGGATAGAGGATATTCAATTCTACCAAAAACACACACTATGCCCTGCTTTTAACGAAGTCAATTTGGAAGCTATATAAATCTTTCAGGCTGTTTAGAATTCCAAAGAGGGATGAAATGAGAGTAGCCAACTCAGCTTTCAAGTCTCTAATTTAAGGAAAGTAAGCTACGAAATGTCTCAGTACTAGCTTGATTTCTTAGTTAATTCGCCCATTTAAATTTTGTTGCCCCTGAAGTGAAGGCTTCAAGTTTCCATTTTCCTAGAACTTAATTAGTTTCCATCTGTCTCTAGTGACAGTCACTAACATAAGTTCTTTCTCAAATATGTATTGCTAACCACAAGGAGAACTGAGCCATGGATGTTGCACCATCAATCTAACAGCTAAAGTTTGTTTAAAAATCAGTCTTACCTTCAAAAGGCAGAACATGATTCAATAAGAAATGAGTTTCAAGACAAAAACCAGAATTTAAGCTAAGCAATGGAGCCAGGCCACATATGGTTAGAAAACAATTTGTTTTCTTTTTAATTATTTTTTAAAAAGATCTGTCCATTTTTATGTGAGAGGTAGATTTAAAGAGAGAGAGAAGGAGAAATAGCATCTTCAATCCACTGGTCCACTCCCCAAATGGACACAGTGGTCAGAACTGAGCTGATCCAAATCCAGGAGCCAGGAGTTTCTTCCAGGTCTCCCATGCAGGTGCAGAGGTTCAAAAACTTGAGACATCCTCTGCTGCTTTCCTAGGCTATTGGCAGGGAGCTGGATGGGAAGAGGAGCAGCTAGAACCCAAACTGGTGCCCATGTGGGATGAAAATGCTGTGGGCAGGTGATTAGCCCAATATGCCACAATATGCCCAATATGCCCTTTCCCGGCCTTCTATAATTTAGAATCTCTGATTCTTGGTTTTCTTACCTACAAAGACTTATACATTTGTATTTGTCTCTTAGGGTTACTGTGAAGATTATGCTTGTAAATTTCCCTGTAATTACTTTGTATATCGTGTGCATGCAGAAAGCAGTAGCTCTCATCATAAAATGGAACAAGATATGGACACTTAATGGCTCATTGTGAGGGCTGCCCAGAGGGATCATCTCTCTATGGGACAGAAATTCAGTAAACTGGGTAACTTGTAGACAAGGGGTCTATTTAAAGACTTACCTACTTAAAACACAGGTCTTGGGAGGTATGAACTCAATCCAAATGTCCCACATCAGGGACAGGAACCTAATGGTTTCCTGCAGCTGGCACTGCTGCCTCCCAGGGTCCACAAGAGCAGGACATCAGATGACAGCCAGAGCCAGGAAGGAAAGCCAGGATAACTTACTAGGCCAAGTGTGTGCTCCCCAAGTAAGCAATCTTCAAAGGCATAACCATGTGCCTGAAGAAAGAAACATCACTTTGCTTGAGTTATATCTTTTGCTGAGAAAATAAATTGTTCTAGAACAAACACAAGCCTTAGCACCAGATGAAAAGGCTTTGTGAAGCACACAGAGCCAGCTCCAGGGCGGCAGGGACTCTCATGCTTTGTGCAAAGCCTCATGCAGCCTGATTTTTCTTCCCACACTGCAATGAATCCTTGAACCAAAAGGCCCACCTAATCATCTGTGGAGGCAACCCCTAGATTTTAATTTGTTTCTAGGGATGAGGAGAAAGGATCAACAGCGACCTTTAACAAGAGAAGAAAGCCATGTAATATTATGAATTTGTATTATCACCTTAATTTGTTCACCATTTAGCAAACGCTATTCACTCAAAGATAAATAGGAGACACTTAAAATAGGTGTAAGAGGCTGTGAAGGCGCTTGCAGGCAGATTAGCACCTGGCAGTCAATGTGGGAGGAATCAGGTTGTGTTGGATGCTTTGCTTCCAGCCCTGTAGTGATTAAAAATAATAACAATTAAAAAAAAAACTGACAATGATCAAATTTTCTGTTTGCCTGTCTGGAATTTGATATTAATGCACTCAATCATTTATTTATTTTCACATATAGCCACATGCACTTCTGACACATGACAGGCAGTATAATGCTACTGGATCATAAAGCTGGAGTCTCAATCCAAGCACTTTGACAAGTACATACCCTTGGGCAAGACACTTAGCTAAGTGCTCACAACAGAAGGGATACATTGACACATCGATAGAGATGATAGGCAGATTAAACAACGCTACATAGAGGGTCATATGAGATAAGACTTAATGGCACTTAGTAGATGTTTAA